AACCCTTCTAGACGTGTATGCAAAGTGTGGAATCATTAGAGATGCGAGGTCTGTATTTGATGAGCTGTGTGATATTGATCTCATCTCGTGGACAGCTATGATCGTCGGGCGCACCCAGAAAGGCTGTTCCGTGGAGACTTTGAAGTTGTTCATGCATAAGGAATGCGCCAGTGTCTTGCCTAATGACGTTACCGTTGCAAGTGTGTTTTCAGCATGTTCACAGTCAGTTCATGGTCTGAGTATTAAAAGCGTGGGCCACGGGAGCCTATTGTCACAAACTCTTTGGTGGATTCTTATGCTAAATGCCAAATTAATTGATATGCTCGTTTTATATTTGGGACAGTTTCAGATAGGAATGTGGTTGTCTGGAATTCCATTATTTCTGGGCTTTATCAGAATGGTTCTGCATACAAAACCCTTGAACTGTTTCGCCAAATGAGGACGGGATCTGTTTTACCTGATGCAGTCTCGCTAGTTAGTGTCTTGTCAGCCTGTGCTTCTCTTAGTGTTCTCCAAGTCGGTTCTTCTTTTCATGCTTCCACAGTAAAGAGGGGTCTATTATCCTATCATGTTTATGTTGGCACTGCACTTTTGACCTTTTATGCCAACTGTGGGAATGTTGAATCTGCTCGTATTATTTTTGACGATATGGGCAAGAAAAGCACTGTCACATGGAGTGCAATGATTTGTGACTACGAAATTCAGGGGGGTGTTCGTGGATCCCAGTCAATTTTCGGTGATATGTTGAAGGCAGAGTTGAAACCCAACGAAGAGATAGATCTTCACATCCATCTTATAGGCATGTAGCCATACAGGGACGGTTGGGGAAGGGTGGCAGCTTTTCAGTACATGTCAGGATTACAAGTGCTTACAATGAAACATTATACATGCTTGGTTGACCTGTAGCTCGTGCTGGCAAGCCTGAGGAAGCCTTGGGCTTCATTCCGAAAATGCCAGTTCAACCAGATGCTAGTCTGTTTGGAGCATTTCCTCATGGATGTGGACTACATTCAAGGTTTGATCTTGGAGAGGTAGCAATCAAGAGGATGCTAGAGCTCCAAACTGGTGAAGCTTGTTACATTGTGCTAATTTGCAGTCTGTATGCTTCGGATGAAAGATGGAGTCAGGTCGAGCAGGTACGGGAGTTGATGAAACAGAAAGGCTTGATGAAAACTTCTGATTGTAGCCTGATGGAGATGGATGGTGACCACTTCTCCTTTTCTACAGTTGCTTCCCTTGCACAGGCCATGCATCGATGCCATGATGTACATGGAATTGCACTGAAATAAATAGAGCTTTGACATCTTAAAGATGATTGAAGATGGTCATTGGGGAAATGCTTGACGATGAGATCTATGTTGATCGTTTCTTGTCTCTCGAGCATTGAGCTGGAGCTGCATGATGAATGCGGACAATTACGTATGGTGCATTCACAGGAAATCTTTCTGTGGTCTTGTTGTATCATTGATGTGATGATTTTACTACTTCCGGTTCTTCAAACATGGCCATCAAGAATTTTGATGGGTTACCTTTGCTGTAAGAAATAAGAGAAAAGGTAAATACACAACTACCAAACCGAGGGGTCAAGTCTCCTTGGATATGCGTTACATATTTGGTACGAGTTTTGCGAGTTTAATTAAACAGATTTTCTTTTGATGAATGTAATCAAAGATTGAAAATTATATATACACAGTTTTACTACGTAGCTGGTTTTCTTGGTCAATCATTGGCTGCTGTTGTTTTTTCTTACTATGATCCACAATATCGAGACCATCCTTTACAGCATTGATCCACATTTGACTTAGACAGGGAATGAGGTCATTGTTGGTGGGATGTCACCATAGAAGTTAAGTGATTAATTATTGATTATGTAATTTACCAAGCCTATTTAATTCCTGCCAGGGCAATTTTCTTTGCTTAGATTTCACCACTTTGCCAGAAAGGCAATACAAATACAGAAAAGTAAAAAAGACAAATAAAGATGGTGACGAAAAGTTTGAACTAGAGAATTATAAAGTTGATTCTGATTTTTTATTTTTTTTTTGGCATTTCGGAAGTCTATTAAGAGAAGAGTAAATTGCAGGACGCATGTGCAGATATTTTTCTAGATTAAATTGTAAACATTTTCATATTCTCTCAAGTATGGGCATCATAAAAGATACTCTTTCATGGGAATTTTCATCTCAAGGAAAAAACGAAATTCACTGCAGGTATAGGGAGATCAAATTCACATCATTGCTTTTTAGTCAAGTTAAATTGCACTGTACCCAGGAACCTTCTTATAGCCTGAACGCTCCATAATACCTCTGGTCTTCTCACGAGCAGCCCAGTTTCCGATTTCTGCGTAGATATTAGATAACAAGGAATAATGCCCGGTATCACTTGTCCTGATCTTCAAGAGATCTTTTTCAATTCCTGGGATCATGTCCATCCTCTGGTGAATTCGACACCCATTAAGTAAATTACCCAAAACACTAGCATCTGCAGGAAATGGCATTGAGTTGATTATTTTGTAGGCTCCGTTGACATCACCAGCACGGCTCAGAAGGTCAACCATACAAGCAAAGTGTTCTGAGTTCGGTTCAACGCCAAAATCTCTCATCAGGTCAAAATAGAACTTTCCTTGTTCCACAGATCCTGAATGACTACATGCTGATAGGATATTCATGAAGGTAATATGATTTGGTTTTATTCCCAATTCTACCATTTGATTGAAGAAAGTGATTGCAGAATCAAGACGACCATGCATTCCATATCCAGAAATCATCGCACTCCATGACACCACACTCTTTTCTGACATGCTATGAAAAACACCTTCGGCTGTTCGAAGATCTCCGCACTTTGCATACATATCAGTTAGAGCAGTTTCTATGTAAAGATCCTTCTCTACACCATACATAATGAGTTTGTGGTGAAGCCATTTTCCCTTTTCAAGACATACCATGTCTGCGCAAGCTTGAATTGCACTTAAGAAGACCACATCAGTTATTTTAAGACAATTGCGGTACATTTGATCAACGAGATGAATTGCCTCTATCGAATTACCACTCTGAACGAACCCGGAAATAATAGAATTCCATGCCACACTACTATTTTGTTTAATATCATTAAATATCATGTGTGCTGAATCTGAGAAACCACACCTCGAGTACATGCCAATTAGAGCATTCTTGACATACTCACCCAAAATGCATCGTTTGATGGCATAACCATGTATCTGACGCCCAAGCTGTAATGAACCCACATTTCCACAAGCTGATATCGCACTTGACAGGCTAAAAAAATCCAGCATTAGTCCTCGTTTTTGCATCTGCACAAATAATACCAGTGCTTCCTCGAACAACCCTTGCCTAGCATTTATCGATAAGAGTGTGTTCCATGACACAACATTTCTCTCCCCAATTGCATGAAGAACCTTCTCACAATAGCCTAGTTTACCACATCCAGCATATAATTCAATTAACACTGGCCCTAGACAGTCATCTTGGAATGTCATACCTTTCTTCAATGCATAACAATGAATTAATTTCCCTTCTCTAAGCCAGCTTAACCCATAACAAGATTTAAGAACTCCCATTATGGTAATCACATTCGGCTCCACTTTCAACTCTAGCATCTTCACAAAAATCTCAAAGGCTTCTTTAAACCAACCGCTTCGATTATAACAGTAAATCATTGAAGTCCACGAAATCAAAGTCTTACTGGCCATATTTACAAAAATCCTCTCAGCACTATACAAATCATCACATGAACTATACATCTCAATAAGGGAATTATCCAACGCCTCACAAGTGTCAACTCTCCTCCTAACGATATAACCATGTATGGACTTAGCTAACTTCAAAATGCCCAGTTTAGAACAAGCCTCAGTGACACTTAACATTATAACCCAGTCCAATTTAACACGTTCATTTACCAACAACCTAAACATCTCCAACGCTTCATTTGCCTCTCCCTTATCAACATAAATAGAAATAATCGAACTCCACGAAACCAAATCTCTAACCGGAATATCATCAAACACCTTCCTTGCATCGGTTAAGCACCCTAATTCTCCATACAAACCCAGAAGTGAAGTCTCAATAAAAGGATCATTATCAAACCCACATTTAATTATCCTCCCGTGAACTTTTGCACCAATAAACATGTCCCCAAAACCAGCACAAGCTCTCAAAACTGAAGGAAATACGAAATGAGTAATTTGAGCTTCATTGCATAACATCTTGTTGTAGAGGAGAATGGCTTCTTCAAATGCGTGAGACCAGACATGGCATTTTATAAGGACACCCCGCATGAAAGAATCAGGGTTTTGATAGGTTTCAAAGACAAGTGTTGAGGATTTAATGGAACCCATTTGAGCATAGGACTCGATGAGTTTGGTGGAGGCTTGGGCGGTGTTGGAGAGATTAGTGACTAAAAGGTGGGCATGGAGTTGGTTTAATTGTCTTAAGGTTTTGCAGGACCTGAAAAGGGGCATGTAGCGTGTCATTCTGCTTCTTTGTTAATAAGCAGACACAACATTGTCGATTTTGTAAGAAGTGATGCAGAAGTTAGAAGCCCGATCAAGTAGCAAATAATGATTGGTTATCTGGGCCACGACAGAAAGGGTGCTCTCCCGCTATGAAATCAGTGGAACAAGAAAGCAGAAAGCAGAAAGCAGATTGATTAAGCGAAAAGCAAGTTCTGGAATCAAAATATTGTATAGCTTAGATTTGGACCGTTCATAAATCATGCTATTATTTCTTCAACAGACAACAAGCGGCAGCAAAAAAGTTTATTATATATAGTACCTGTAGTTTATTGAAATTGATTAATTAGTATTTATATTATAAAAATAATTAATTTTGCCATTTGACATCATTGACCATCTTCGATATGGTAATCTTTTTATTTGAAAATTACCTTTTTTTCAAATCAGATTTTCCCAATATCTTTTTCTCCTTTTTTGCACTCTATTTTTTTATAAGTAAAAAATAAATTTATTAGAAAATAATATATAATTGACAGAAAGACCAAGTTACAAGCATATTAAAAAAAAATAAAAAAACATAGTTTGTTAAACTACAAGGATTAGCTAACTAGTTGTGTTAAACTACAAGGACTAAGTCGTAATTAAGTCTAGTTTGGTTCTGAACGAATAAGAACACAAGAACAACATGTTTCTCCTCTCTAATGTCTACGAAGAACCTGAACCTCAAGGAACAAGACGAGGCAGGGAAAAGAGTATGAGCCATACACAAGTTATTATGCCATATTGCTAACAGCCTAACACATGATCTAAATCAAATCAAATCCGAAATTTCCAGCAAAACAAGTGAAGATAGCGCCATCAAATCATACATGACTGAGATAGATTGAAAAATTCCACAAGCTTTTCAGCCCCATGCCTCCAATCTCTAAATCACGGGGACCAGAAGGCACCACTCGCCTGCTTAAGCACGCCACCATCGTCGTTTATGGTGTCGTTTTTGGTATTTATATGGTAATAGTTTTTAAAAATATTTTTTATTTAAAAATATATTGAAATAATATAATTTTTTAATTTTTTTAATATCATTATATTAAAATAAAACTAATAATATTTAAAAATATCTTAAAACAATATAAAAACATAAAACAAATTAATTTAAAATAATAAATAAATAAATAATTTCAATTTTTTTCAAATATCCTTTTATAACACAAACACATATAATCAATATTGATCAACCGGCGCTTCATGACTGACGAGGCCTGTTGTGCATGTCACGCAGCTGCTTGATTAAGATAAACGATGTATTGGGATGATCAAACCTTTCCTGCACATTGATCATATGCCTCAAAATAATCAAGTAAAAAAAGCCAGGGGCATGCTTCATTTTTTAAGCGACAACTTGACTTCCATATCCGGTTTCTCAGGAGCAACCAAATTTTCCTCAGGAACTACTGAGACGTCAGGGAAAGAAAAGCTAGCTTGCAGCTATGGAAGTTTGCTATAAGGCCAAGATCCACACTAGAATCATGGAAACATAAAAAAGAGTGAAGTACGAATTGTTGACACATCGCAACAGGATAAGCAACTCCTAATCTTTTATATTTGCACTTTGATTCTTCTCGCGTAAGAGACTCTATACGGCTGCGGCTGTAGAATTCATTTACCGAGTCCAGAATTATAACATTCAGTTCCAAGGATGTGCTCCCATGGCATAAACGCAATCTCTACAGATTCTTTTTCTGCATATACAATGCAACTGAACCTCATAAAGGAAGTGAAAACAGATGAAAGATTTAAATGATGGTGTGGAAGCCAAGCTTACATACCAAAAATTTTGTGCCTCACTTTCTGCCCTAAACAAAATGCATACTGTGCATTTTCATATGCCAGAGCTCCAGCAGATGCAGCAAAAGACTCTGCTTCCAGTTTTGAAACTTGATCTCGTAATCCAGCTGCCACTGCATAATTCTTGTTCGCAATTGCATTCTGGACATCCGCACTGCAAGTAAAGAAGCGGAAGCAGTCTAAACATATTCTAGTTGAGCCAGTAAAATGCAGCATAAGAAATCCCACAAAAAAGTGGGGCATAGAAAAATGTGGGACTCACCGTAGTTGCTTGATGCTTGTAGCTTTATCTCGAGCTTCACTCTTTGAACATGATCCCCTCTTCGCTTCATGCAGCCTAATGACCTAAGCATCAACCTTCCAAGAAGCGAACTCATTCAACACGCTGCAAATTCATTTTATAACTTAATTTACCAACTAGCTTATTCTCCATGGACACCTGTATGTATCATAGTTAGGCAAGCGAGCACAATTTCACCGCGTTAAACTATGACCCAAAAGCTGCTTACAAAGACTCGATACTAGAGAAAAATAAAAAGTTCCTGTACAATACACGATGAATTTCAGTCAAATGTCACACTGTTCCACATTCAAAGCATAATGCAAATTCCATAACATCAACCAAGAAAAGCTTGTGAGCACTACAAAACACCAAAAACTAGGGGACACAACAAAATGCTTCACTGTTTTATAAAAATCTAAACCAAAAGACTGCCAGTAAACCTAAACTCGAGCGGCCAAATCTAGCTGAAAAAAGAAAATCAGGATATCTTCATTCGAACTCTCGCCACGTTCAGAGCTTGCGTCCACCTCCTGTGTTAAAAAGCCATCCAGCTTCAACCCTTACATTTCTTCATCTAAATATGTTGGGATTACCCATAGAGTGCAACCCTTGGAACACACGGCTGCAAAGGGCAATGGCTATCAATCCCAGAAACAACATGGGTTTTCCTCAATAGATTGAAAAATGCCTCCACTGCGGTACAATCGTCTGCGTTGAGGATTATGCGTGTGGAGTGTGATCCTCTGCGGTATGCAGACACGTGCAATGATTGTGGTAAGGGCTTTATGCGGTGTGACTGAGCTAGTTTTTATTTTCATTTTTGCCCATCTCCAAACGATTAAATCTCATATCTTCTGTTTATTTATATATATCAAATAAAATAAATAAATAAAATTCATATTTCTTCAAGAACTGGCTTGGACAGTATTGTTCCCGTTTCTCCATCAATTATTTTTCTTGCTCCTAAAACGATGAAGATTTATAAATATGTTGAGTGGATGGTATATCATTTTCTTTTCATTTTCATTTGACAAAAATAAAATAAAAATATTAGCCCATAAATGAGCTAGGCCCAAAAAATTTCAGCTTCTAAACACGTCTCCATGGGCCATAGCAAGATTACTAGGAAACAACTCATAAAGATCCCTCCATGGGCTGAATGTCCTCAGTTCATCTAGATTTGGAACCGGATCCTCAGGTGGAGCTTGGGCCTTCAGCTTATAATGTTTTTTTATTTTTCCCTGAACAGAAGCCTGTGATCTTCGGGTTCCATCCTCTTCGCAGTGAAATTTCGATCTCAGTGTAAAAGAAAGCATGATTTACTTTCGAATTTGTTCAATATCACCACATCATTTGATTTTTCCATATTGATTTAAATTGTTTTTTTAAATTTAGCTTAAAGAACAAAGGCATGTTCATGTTTGTTAGCAACGATGTTTATCTTAAATTGGAAGTTATAGTAAAATTAAGTAAGAAATTTACTTTGGATCAAAAATTAAAAACAACAATTGACTTCACGATTCGAATTTCTACTCTTTGCTCTTTTTAAAAGAAAACATAAAATAAAATTCTTTGAATGTTTTGTTTTACCAAACACAAACCTTTATTTTTTTTCATAAGCTATTTTGCGTTTTAAATTAATTAGTAGTCATAGATACACCATGTCAAACTGGCTCTCTTTTGCCCTTAAAAATACATTTAAACCTAGAGTGCCGACTCTAGGTTTAAACATGTTTGTATTTGAAATTTTTTTAACTTTTTTATGTTGATAATAAAAAATATTATTTTAATATACTTTCAAATAGAAAATACTTTAAAAAATAAAAGGTAAAAAAATCTCAAACATTACCGGTAACTCGCCCACCTTCCACAGCAGCTTACGTACATTTTATAGAGAAGCATCCAAGGATAATAAGGGACAAGCTAGCTTTTATTTCCACTGTCAAAAGCAATCATTCATTGCTCAACAAATAAAATAAACAAATGAGATGCTATTGATACATGTTTCAACACCAGATGCAACCCCGATTAAAAGAGAAAGAAAAACCGCTACAATTTGTACAAAGGCAACATCAAATGCACCTTCGGAGGGGGGCGGGAAGAAAATTAAAGAAACCACAATCTGACTTGCAAAATCACGTGATGAAACTGCATCTCTGATGATGCCTACGGTCGATGATACACATATTTTGTTCTGGGGTCCACAATAAGACCCTTTCCTCCATTCACTTCTAAATCGTGCCTGCATCCATCACATCAACAGTTTATAAGAAACTTCGTTTGTCCACTCCATCCTTGCAACCATACACCATTATCAGGATATGCAACGATCAACACAAACAGACGGCAAAGGGATATGGATTGTATGAGAAGTAGAAAACTCAACTGGAAAACAAAGTCAGGGATGGTCAGCTGCTCACGAGGTACATATCTGAACAGCTGCACAAGCCGATCAACATACACCACTTTCTTCCAGGTCTAGGAGTCAAATTCAAGCAGTAAACTTGCAAAATAGATTCAGATTTCAATTGACAAAAACTCAAATAAAAATGCATACCACATTATCAACAAATACTTGCAACGCAAAAATTGTGGCCTTCAGGTGAAAATTTGGGTGAAGAACATATATCGCCTACAAAGTAGATGAGGGAGTCAGATCTAAGAAAACAAATATATGCATTTACAGAGATGAACATATATAGCATACATGCAGATTTCGCTGGTGTTTCCGAGTGAGTATTTGTTGTAATCTTCGCATCCATCCCAAGTCTGGTTGACTGTTTATCAAAGAGGCAGGCACGTATAAAATGAGGAAAGCTGACAGTTTCAGAAAGATGAACTTCAAAAAAAAGATTATAAACCAGCCCAGACAAACAACACCATTCCCATAAACTTGAAAACAAAATAACAGGTGGAATAACAAAGCTCCGGTCAATACCCCATTTGTACGGAGAACAAACATCAAGAGTCATATGATTATCCTATGACAGAGAAAATCCTGATCAAATTCTCCATAAAGGTACCAGTATGTGACCAAGACAAGGATGGTGGGCAATTCCCACAATGCAAGTAGAAACTCAAATAAAGAACTTGAAAATTCCTGATCTATCCAAATCCTAATTGAAAATTCCTAAGCTTTCCGAATCCAAATTCCTGATTCCAAGAATATAATTCTGGTCAAATTCTCCATAAAGGTACCTCTTTGTGAGCACGTCTGGTGACAAACAATCACCATAATCAGGGAAAAGGATAAAAAAAAAAAAAAAAAAAAGGCCAAAGGCAATCCCACATTTAGAGCAAATGAGGAGGGGAAAAAAAATCAGCATTGAGCAGAAATATCATTGACAAATGTTTCAATTCTCCCACGTGAGCACCAAATCATCTATTGTAAAGACAAAATTTCAAGAAAACGGAAGTGTGTAGTTTAGAAAGTCAAACATGCAATACTTACACTTGCAAAGAGGCTGCAGAGTGGAAATACACAATCGTATAAGGCTTCTGTATTAAGGGCTCAAATTCCTGCAATTTAACAACCCAGATAATAATAGGCCAAATCAACAGCGAAGTCAAGAAAATCATAACAGGATAAGAATAAGGATATCTGAAGACAGCATTGTCCAAGATCAAGAAGCTGATAAGTGAGAATAATAAAGCTAGAAAATGAACTACCTTTACCACATGAAGCACAAATCTCTCTAGATCAAGACATCGCAGCAACAAATGCGCTCCCACTACCACCATCACAGGACGGCCCTCACTGTCTACCCCACCACGGTAACTAAAGTAGCAAGAAAAGATCTAAATTCAATTATATGCAATCTGAGATCATAAACACTAAGCATTAGTGAAAATGATAGGTGCTGTACAATGAAGGAAATGCAATTCATGCAAAAGGTTATGTAGCCAGGTGGACTAATTCATACTGAGAAGATCTGAATGTAGAGGCTGCAAAAAGATAATTCAGAGCCATAACCAATGAACATTACACCAATCATATTGATTCAACAGGAATCAAATGAGGCAATGCAAAGTTTGCCTTTAAAAGAAAAGGAATTAAAACCTAAAGCGCATGCAAATGAAGATGTACAGATGCTTACACAATTTTCATCTCTGCTATTTCAGAAAGATTAAGAGAATTTGCTTTGGCTAGGTATCTTGAATGAAGAGAATATTCTTCAGCAGCTGACAATGGAGGGCCTCCAAGATCACCGAATCCAAGCATTTTGGCACAATTCCATCCACTCCATGCTTGAGCAGTCTTTTCCCATTGCTCCTTGCGTCTCTGATCTGGATCCTTAATTACAGACATGAAGGCAGGATCCAAATATGAATCCAAGTATGATGAATTCCTGTAAAATGAAACGATTGATTAGACGAGCATGTGTGTGTGTCATATTCAAAGAACCACTGTATGAGATTAACTCTTCAAGAAAGAGCATATTCTTTTTGAGAAAATCCTGAGCATTAGCCATTGTACTGCTCATTCCATTTAAACACAAATATTCAAAATTGAAAATAGTAAGAAATAAAGTGTAGTGATCTGAACTGAAAAATGACCATCTTAAACAAGAGAAAACAAAACAAAACAAAAAAGAATGTTTAATTTATATTGCAATTAAGTCAACTAACCTTCGTACCAAGCCAACATCAATGACAGGAAGTTCCGCTGGAGGTTGGGAAGGTCTCGGAATATTTTTCTTGGGCAAAGGCTTTATTCTGATTTTGCGTTCATCTATTATCGTCTCACCATTCTCGTCCCCAACATCAGCAGGAAGTTTTGAGATGGCCACCTCTTCTTCATGTTTATCTCGAGGAAAGTACAGTGGGAGCAATCTACAGTGGAAAATGGTAAAAGGAACAATGACCACAGTTGATAGAATTCTTACAAAGTAGTGGTTACATAAGAAAAATATAACAAATGTGACATGTCTCAACTGAGGCATCGTTATTTTATTTAAAGAAATGACAAAATGTGCATCTTGCCCTAACTAGTTTGGGCTATAGCTCAAATTCAGTTGGGTTGCAGCTATTTGTGCATCTCTAAGGTAACAGAAAGGAACATAAATATAGAAGCACCTTTTATATATTTCAGTATCAGTTAATGTGGTGGTACAAAAAACAACAGCTGTAATCTTATTTTTCTGCTTCTCAAGGAAACGCCGGACGGTCCCTGAACAAAACCAAACAGGAAATCAATTAGATGACAATGAATCACATAAGCAACATTTGGCTCTCCAAACACAGACAATATCAGAAATACACACAAAAATTTTATAGAGGTGGGAATAAATGAATGAGTTTATGTGCATGAAGCGCAAGTTATTGTGTTATTCCAGCAAAACAACATAAATTCTCTCTGATAGCTCAAATGGATAGACATTATTAATTTACTAACAATAAGAAAAAAATTCCCCGGGTTGATATTAACATGCACATTAAGCATTAGAGAGCTAGACAAAGAGCTGCAGTGAAAGGAAAATTTCTCACTTATAGCCACATGAGCGGCTGGTTCACGCGGATAATTTTTAGACTCCGTATATATACAGCCCATAGCGATGCTGCATTTGTATGTCAAGTTAAAGCTAGCTCAGTGTTTTTAAAAATCATAAAAGCACAATAAATGAACAGAAGACCAGCAAATAATGGAGTTACAACCTTTGAAGCCCATTCTCAATGAGAAGCTCTAGGCAAGAGCGGTAGCAGTGACTCAAAGCATTCTCTGCAGCAGTATGATATTTCATTGCGTATTTGGGACCAACAGTATGGATAACTCTCCTGCCATGATATTAAGCAAAACATTAGCTTCTATTTCAAATAACAAAAAATATATAAATTAGAACTACCAAAAAGAGAACCTGATGTAATCCAACAGATAAGTTGGAAGGATTCAACAACTACAGACAAAACATTAAGGACAAGAAATGGAAAGCAATTTAAAGAAAATATATATTGATATTGCAGAGTGTGCAATATATAAATATGGTAAATATGAGTCATCAAGCATGACTTTTGAAGAAGGAACACAAGCTTAGACTGAAACAACAATCAATCTGGAGAAGCTATTGTTAATTCTCCAGTATAACTGGTCCCCCACTATAACACAGCGTTCATTTATCTTGACTCATTCCGTGAATAAGAAACAAACACTAATGAAATGACACAGATGCAATCCGTCTGAATAAAACAACAACCAACGAGAAAAGAGCACACTAAAGCATACAAGCAATATACCAAATTTCTCCATTGTCAATTCTTGAATCAAGGGCAGGTTAGAGAAATGGAACACAGGATAATAAATTTTTGTGATGTAATGCAAAAATAAATTAATGCTTCATATCAAGTAGAACATGCCAGCATGCATACCTAGCCGGAAGGTCATATGCATTAGTAACTTTTGCCATCCCTGTTCGACATCCACCCTGACCACACACAAATGCATGTCAAGTCAGTCCCACTCTTGTATTTTCTTACCTACATAAAAATGACCTAATAATCAAACAAGCTAACTTTAGCAACTAAAAGTGTTTTGAACATATCTAGATTTGCCCCAGTGTATGAAAACAGATTTACTGCAGTAAAATTTGCATTGTTTATCAACTATCTTTGCATGATAAGAGCTTGTGTGTGTGTGTGCGGGCGGGCGGGCGTGGTGTATGGATCATTAAAAATCCCTGTAACTGGTGCTCATAAACATGACATATAATCTCCACATCAAATGAAAATATTCAAATATTAGCAGCTGGCAACCAATTGACACCATACCAGTGTTGTGCATTCTTCTGCAAGACCAGGTCCAGCTGCTGCATGCAGACCAGGGCTGCTGTGTGCCTCGTCCAGTAACTATAAACCATCAATTAGAAGGAAATTAGAGATGATATAAGTGAATTGCTGGTTCCTTGGTTTTCATGTTTGAAAGCTCGATGCAATTAGAAAAAGGGTTTGAAATGCTACAGCAATGCAATTTACTAAGGATCTTCATGCTGGAGCACAAAGATTAGTGATGGATGCACCAAGAGGAGAAGGTGAATTGGCTTGGTGCTCCCTTTAAGCATAGAGTCAAAAACAACTTCTCAACATCAGCAGCAAGCATATAACTCATAGAACAAGTGCATCCACTGAGGACAAAGATAAAACAATTATGGTGCTCTAAAGTGTCGTATTATATCAGGTGCAATGTGAGCTTAAAAGATTTTCCATGATCCAAAAAAGAGAGTTCACATCCCTTAAAATCTGAATATGAGCCCCACAACCAAACCACGGAAAAAATATTCAGGTTGCAGGTTCTAAAATTCAGATGTCATTGTAGAACATGTGGAAGCTGTTGGTTCAAAGTCTCATATTATATCAGGTTCACCAAAAACCAAACTCCACTAACAAATAGCTATCCAAACCTGCTGCAAATGTAGCAAAAAGTTTCTTCAGACATTCCACTTTCTAACCATAGATGTCAAATCTAGATAACCATAGATCACTTGGGTAGAAAAGGTAAAAAGTCAAAATCATCAGTTCCAAGGATAGCACTGCTCATGCAGTTCAACCAAATAAAGGGGAGTACCCAACATTCACCTCATTTGTAGAATTCACAACAGCATCCACCTCAAGATTCCAAGGGTTGCCCCTCCATAAGTATATCTTTGAGTTGATCTCATGATCAACTGGGAACCTCGATACCATCCCACAGGTACTGCTTTCCCCCTCAGAAGGTGACGTTAAAGGATCAGGGAAAAACGGATTTGTAAATGAAGGGTCCTCATTATCATAACCGAACGAAGATCTACTCTCAGCATCACTCCATCGCGGAACTTGATCCAAAGTCACAACTGAATCCCCATTGTCAGTGGGCGATCCACCTCGGGTTGTTACAGCCGCAGGCACACGTTGGTACATTTTCTGTGGCTACTGATTAAATTCTCAGTTTCTGAAGTTGTTGGGCTCCTGAAACCAACAACCACCTACTAAAAATTTTTGTTTACAAAATCACACTAATGGAATAATTCCCTGAAACAGGAAAACGCAAAATCAAACTCAAAATCCAAATCCAAATCATAAAACGCAAAATCAAACTCAAAATCCAAATCATCACATCACATATACAGATAAATGAAAATAAGATCAGAAATTCCTATCAAAACTAAAAAAAAATAGACCTAATCACATTTTGCTCTACATTTTAAGCAGTTAAATTCCTTTTAAAAAAAGTCTGCTATAAAAGCTGAAGCTTGCGACCCAATTACACAATTCGTAGTAATATTACTCGTAGGTAATAGAACAGCAGAAAATCCTCAATTTCTATCCATCCAATTCAACGCTTGATCAAATCAATTAATAGCAGCAAACAGCTAAAAACAAAGAAGAATTTTAATGACACCTTCAGTCAAGTTTTGTGCTTTGAAAACCTAATTTTTTAATTCCGCGACGAAAAATGAGTAAAATAATCGATTTTATAAAGAAAATCTGAGGGAAATAAATCTGAAAGAAGAGAATTTTACGTACCTTTTAGGGATTGGTCATGGTATTTAATTTTTATTTATTGAGTTCATCAATCATCTGGTGCTGTGTTTTTTTTTATTATTATTTTAAGAAATTGGATGGGAATTAGGATTGCTGGCTGCCTGCCTTGATGAGCTTACAACATGCAGAGCTCATCTGGCCAGACAGACAACGAATCGGAGGTAAAAAAGGAAATTTTCTTATCATTTGTCAAATTTTAAAATCACTCCTTCATCTTCCTCTCAATTCCATTTAAGGCCATCCATTTTGGGTCAGCTTCCGATATTTGCAAGTAAGAATACTCTTATAAATTAAAATTAAAAGAAACTCTTTAATTTAAAGAAACTCTAGCACACGTAGAGGAACACTGTGGATTCGCAAATCCACGGTGTTTTTTCTACTTCATTCCTTGCAGTACAAAATTGATGCCTTGGAATAGGATAGGATGTTTTTGTCTTTTTATATGGACACAAAAATATTGGTGACGTAATTTTTTTTTAACAGTGAAATTACTAAAATAATTGTTTGAACTTTTTTTTGTTCGGTAGCTTTATCATAATTTCCTTTATAAATGAACAGTAAAAATACCCTTTAATAATTTAGAAAAAAACAGTGTCAAGTGATTTTAAAACTTCCTTCCAATGTGTTTTTATCTTTCCATCTTGATTTTCTAGGATGGATTTTTTTATTACTATTTTAAAAAATAATTATTTATACATGATAAGTACTTGACAGCAATTAAATATTATCTATATTTTTTAAAAGATATATATGGTGTGGTAGTATTTATTTTTTAAAATATTTTTATTTAAAATTTTATTAAAAAAAATATTTTTAAAAAATATTTTTAACATTAATATATTAAAATGATATAAAAATATTAATAATATATTAATTTTAAAAAAATAAATAAAAAACATTACACTTGTGGTTGTGTGCCGCCGCATTCTACGGTCCAGTGTCATCATCTTTTTAGAAGTGCTGTCACATTCTATTCCTCATGGTGCGATGCAGTAAGATGAAGAAGTTTTTTTTATTCTTTTAAAAGTTTTTTAAAAAATACCTTTTTCTTTTTCTTTTTCTTTTTCTTTTTCTTTGTAAGAAGTGTCGAGCAAAAGAATACTCGGAATCATTCATTTATTTGTATCAATTCAATAAATATGCTCCTTTAAAAATATTCTGGTCAAAATTTATCTTGTATTTATAAAATCCAAGGTAATTTAATTTAATTAGACAAGATTACATTGAATTATAAAATCAATCCTCGCTAAGATTTGGGAAGTTCCTAACCATTCAAAAATTATCACATTTAAAAAAATTAAATTTTCTTAAGAATATAAATAATTTTCTCCAATACTCGTTCATCAAACCTTTTAAAACACTTACTAGAATGAATTTTTGAATTAAAAAATTGAAATGTTTAAGGAATGAGAAATTCAAAATACTAACATAGATTATTTTAAAATGTTTATTTATTAAATTTTGGGATATTTTTAAGAAATCAAAATATATATATATATATAAATTATAATCATTTAAAATATTTAATAAATAATATTTTTAAGAAATCAAAATATATATATATAAATTATAATAATTTAAAATATTTAATAAATAAAAATAAAATAATAAAATTCTCATCAATTAAGATTTATGAAATAAGAATAAAAAAGTTTTGAAAATTCCTTAATGGAGGCAAGTAACACCATTAAACACGACCGAGCTTTTAATGACTTACTTCTTTTTATCTCAGCCAAAGGCCCAGCCATGAAAGAAAACTATTTACACATCCTCACTAGTCCAATCCTCCTCACTCCATTATAGAGTTGGACTGCTTGCTTGACCCACTATACACCATCGTGGGTTAATTTTTTTTATTAAATATATTAATTAAATCTACAGTAAAAAATTAATAAAGAAAAGGGTTTAAAAATAGCAAAAAAAAACTAAAAGCATCAATCATTAACTAAATAAAAAATAATATTAATGAACTAAATTAAATAAAAAATATTAATTAAAATAAAAAAACCTATAAGAAGAAAAAAATAAAAAAATAAATTAATTAGGTTAACCCATCAAATCAAAGATTAGTATCATAAAAATTTAATAACTAAATAGAAGAAAATTAATATTAATAAAATAAATTAAAAAATAATTTTAAAACAAACATCAATTTTTTCACTGCGAACTGCACTGTTTAGTCTATAATGAAAGACATAAAAAGAAAAAAGAGCAAAAAAAATTAAAGGCATCAACATTTTCATCATAGACTGCATGCAACATTGAAAAAAAAATTGAAAGAAAAATTAATAAAAAAAAGAAAAAAATTAAATCAACTGGGTTAGCCTATCAAGTAAAGTTAACTCGTCAAACATGAAATTTGTGTCATAAAAGTATAATAACTAAATATAAAAAAATTAATATTAATGAGATTAATAAAAAAAACACAGAGAGGAAAAAACATAAAGGAGGAACAAAAACTAATGAAAAAAAATGAATCTGATGAGTCAACTAGATTAACCCATTAAATCTGTTATCCGTATCATGAAACCTATTAATTAGATAGAAAAATTTCATGCCAAGAAACTAAATTAAAAATAATAATTTAAAAAAAAAACTAAATGTATTAGCTTTTTCATTGTGGACTGCACAGTGCAGTCCACTATGAAAAGCTTAAAAAGGAAAAAAAAAAGAGAGGCATATATCACGAATTAATTTTCTCCTTGCATAAAAAATATCAAAAAATACTAAAATTTAAGAATGCTAGGTCTTTTGTAAAGATATACCAAAAGGTATCAGATCTAACTGTAATGTTTGACCAACGAGTAATATTTATAATATTAATAATAATATTAAACTTACATGACTAAAGTTTAAGTGAGTTTGATTGCGACACCAAACCAAAGAACCTTGAATGTGAGTCTGACTGTGAGGTTGTGTTATAAAAGTGTGATAATTAAATAGATTAATTTAAAAGAAAAAATCTACAGGAAAAAAAACTAAGGAAAAAAAAATCTGAATTAATTAGGTCAACTCTTCAAACCAGGTTAACTTGTCAAACCTAGAATTTTATTTGATAACTAAATAGAAAAAAAATTAACGGGTTAACCCATAATTAACTGGGTTAATATGTCAAACTAGGTTAACTCATCAAACTTGATATACATATCATGAAAGCCTGATAACTAAATATAAAGAAATTTAACAAACTAAACTAGACCAAAAAAAATAATGAAAAAAAAAACAAAAAAAACTGTTTTATATTATGTTAATCTGTCAAATTCGAGATCCGTACTATAAAAATCTAATAACTAAATAAAAAAACTAAATTAAAAAAATATTTCATTAAAAAAACAAAAAATAAAGAGACAACCTAACCTTTATACTATAGACTATACTATACAATTTATAGTAAAAAACTAATCATTATTTTAGTTATGGTTAATAATAACTGCAACCTCTACAAAAAAATATGTCGACATGGCTTAGAGTAGCACCAAAATTGTCAAACCACCTGCAATACTTTTACAATTAAACACTACCATAAAAAAAACAAATACCATAAAAAGTAAATAATTTATAGTGAAAAAAACTATAATTATTAAACTCCACCCGATTAAGTAAATTAACTTGGTTATAGATTGATTTAAAGTTCGATATGGATCAATTTTTTTTCAAATCATTCTAAAAATTAATTTAATTTGATCGTGTGAAATTTGTTGAGTCGATATTGTTTTGGGTAAATTTTTTTTAAAAATTAAATAACATTGCTGTAGAATAGAAATGGATTGACACATAGATCAACAAATTAATCCAATAACTTTACTATATATATATATATA